TTTTCTTATGTATTGTTATATTTTCACTGCACCCCCTGCTGAAAATTACTTTCAGCTGTTTTGGTTAAATGTAAAGGGAAATATGATCCATTAATGTAGGCTCAATAAGCAATATGTAAATAATTTTCATTTTCTGCAGGGAAGGCCGTACATTGTCGATAGTTAGGGTTCAGCTAACTGGTGCAGAGAACAGAAATTTAGTGGGAGAATAACACTTCCTGCTGCTCTGGATATGGACAAGCCACAACAAGCAGAAGCTCTCCAAGCCCTTAAGACGTGGGATGATGTTTACGATGAACAGTCTCCAGCAAGGACTTCACTTTTATAAAGAAAAAGTTGTGAAAAGTTCTGTCTCTACATTCTGGATGAAAAAAATCTGAATGTTTTATCAGATTTGAAGAAACTCTGTAAATAAAGAAATTTCCGAGTAACCATATGTCGTCATTGCTGTTGCCTCTCTGCATCTTGGATAGAGTAATGGAGGAGGATACTGATACGTATACCTACAGAATTTAGTTACAACTGTTACGACCTCACCTCATTTTCACCTCAAGTAGCCTATCTTGTGGAACAATGTCATCCCCCAGTGTCCTCTGCTGTTGTGTTACACAGAATTATTAGTTAATATGACATACATTTCCATTCTGAAAGCACCTGGCCATGACGGTGTCAGTTAGTGTAATGCCTTTTTCCTTACAGCATTGAATACATAGAAACCACTAAATATGCCATTGCTTCCAAAGTTAATGCAGTCACTTCATTAAGGGTTTACCACATGTTAATATGCAAAAACGTCAAGGTTTTAAAACAGTATTTTAGTTAGACGTGGCCAAGGACACCTAGTGGCAGAAAGTGGCAGTGCCATTGGCCACTTATTGGCAGATGAACTACTATGTGGCTTTATGAAAAATGTAATGTAGTTTAATGAGCAATAACATCACAATATTATCTGCTTAGCGGTACTATAGCAACTATAAAAAAAATATTTGTAAGGAAATAAATAAATGAAAAAAAAAAAGTTATTTGCCGAAAAACGGCAAGCAAAAAAAATTTATAATAGTTTACAGAAATCGAGTTCTCCTGCCCCCAAAATGGTGTCAGTAAACCTGGGAGTCGCTCGGGCAGCCTACTGGCAGGACAGCCGGACTGCCCCCGAGTGGCTGTGTAGTGGCTGATGGTGGCTGCTGCTGGCCGAGGTCACTTATTGGCAGATAAACTACTCCGTTCCATCAAGTAAATGTGACATAATAAAATTTTTAATGCGGTTTATTAAGCAATAACATCACAATACAAAAAAAAATAAAAAAAATACATTTTAATACAGGTTATTAAGCGATAACATCACAATATAAAAAAAAAAACAATCTAGTTAGAAGCACTATAAATAAGGCATTTGCCGAAAAACGGCAAGAAAAATAACAAAAAAATAATTCAAAAACTACATGAAAAAATAATTTAGTGGCTGCGGCCAGTAATACATCGTGCCATTTGCCGACGAGCCACCGGAACTGCTGCAATGAGCCACAACGAGCCAACGGAAGTGCCACCGGAACTGTCACCGGAACTGCTGCAACGCAGCCACTGCCACGAATTGAGCTCGGCCCTGCTGCTGATCTGAGTAAAATGTGCAGTACTAGAATTCACCAGATGGTGGCAGCAGGAAAGCAGCCTGTAGCATTACCGTGCAGAAAAAGAAGTTTTCACCACTAGCCATCAAGTACACCTCACTACAGCTAACAGACTGACATTCTTTGTCCCGGTGTTGTATGAAATTCTGTTCCCCTTGTGTCGAAAGGTGCATTGAAGCCAGAGAGGCGGACATGGAGAATGGGACCATTTTCACTGCGCTTCTTATCGATTCTGGCTAAAAACAACTCATATATTCATGCCAAGGTTGTAACATCCAGTTTAATCAGCAGTTGTTGATGAAAATTGTAAAATAAATAAATAGACGAGGTCCTTTTAAGCTGTTTTGTGTTGTTATTTTAAACGCCAGAAAAATCTGTCTTTTTCCAACTTCTGTCCCTTCAGCCTGACAGAAATACAGGTCAGTCACCAAACAAAGTTTTCCAGCAAGTAGTGAGTTTTTATCATTTTTTATTACTGATATCAGAAAATGGAAACTGGCTGATAGCAAGACACAGAAATGAAGAGTTAATGTAAAATATGATAGATCACTGGATTAAGGTCATTTCTAGTATACGACATGCTATCACACAAAACTATTTTTGAGAATATGGAAACAGTTGCTCTTTTTTTTACAGAGATATGGGAGGAGGAGAGGAGAGAGTGGATATTTCAGCTGCCTGAAATAATCTGTTTCTCCTCCAGAACATGGGATTAAATTAATTTATCTACAAGTAGGGCTGGGCGATAATTCAATAACGAT